ACTAGTTCAGAGCCCAAATCTTACTCATATTGTAGCCTAAGCCGTATAAAATATTTTCTTTATAGATATTTCATTACCACCTATGAGGGAATTTACTTTCCTTCAAAACAAAGTTTAATTTGAGGAGAGAAAGAAAGGAAAAAAATACATTTAATACATGGATTACAGTTAGAGTGGATTACAGTTATAAAAGAATAATTAGTTTTCTCTTTTTCTCCTTCAAATTAAAATGTATCTATTAAAACAGGAGTTAAAATTCTTAGAGCAGATTATTATTTTGTTTGTCACAATTGATACACTTTTCAAATAAATTATGATTTTAATAAACAGCAAATAAAATTCTTAATTACAGAATTTTCTTCTGAATAATCGAAGAGTGAATAAATAAGAGTGGTTATTTTCCCCAAATTTTAATAAAAAAATTATATAATTTTAGTAATTCTTCCCTCATAGAAAAATGGTTCCAACTTTTCGACAGATATGATGACCGGATCAATAATACCTCAAAATTATTTTTTTAAAAAAATTTTATTTGCTGTTTTCCTCTAATATAAACGTAATATTAAACTAATAATAATTTTCTTTTTTTTTTTGAGAGGAAAAGCTTTTTAAAGAGAAATCCAAAAGAAATGTAATTGGTATACTAAATTTAAATGAAGTTAGTACAATAAAGATTTGTGAGTATATTGCATTTTAATGCGTCCAATCTGTTAAATTACGCATCGATGAGAAACTATTTCAAAATATGAAAAGAAATTTTAGCCTATTTAGATGAGGGAAAAATATAAGTTTTTATTGTAAAGAGCTACTTTTTCTTTTCTTTTAGTTCTATTTTTATCGATAAATACCGGCTAAAAATTTCTATTAAAAAAACTCAGTACTAAAATACGTATTAAAATCATTAAAGTGTGAAGGTTTATAAGAAGAAAAAAATAAATTAATTATACTAATGAAACGGAAATAAAATGAGAGCAACTTTAGATGGTCATTAATGGAGTGAAAAGTTTGAGAGAAAAATAATCAGAAATTGGTTTAAAAATTTTAATTATTCCCTTTCTTCTAACCATTACAATCCCTTTTATCAATTTCAGCCGAACTAAATATTTTTTTACGACTAATTTCATCCCAGAAATATTTTCTTAAAAAAAATTTCTTTTCTAGCTTTTAATCTAAATTTTCTCCTTTTCTAAATTTCTAAACTCTCAGGTTAATTTCAGCCAATTAAAAGAAAATTTATTTGTATATATTTTCTCTCTTTTCAATTTAAAATATTTACTGTAAGAGGGGGAAAAACTCAATGAAAAAAAACTATTGAATAGATGAATAGATCGAAAAATAAGAGAGAAAAAGGAACTAATTAGAAAGGAAAACCAATTAATAAACAAACAAAATAATCTATACAATAAATACTTAGAAAGTAATAGTAAAATAACCGGGCATTGCCAAATCCTAGGCCGTAAAAATTTAAAATTTTATTTTCAGACATTTTAAAATTAATCCAAAATTTTCAATGAAAAATTAATAATTTTTCTAACTAAGGGAGATATTCTAAAAATTAGATTTTTCTTTAAATACCCTTAAAAACATAGTTTCTAAGTAGAAATTGAAGGAGAAGTGTACAAAAATTTCAACTAAAATGACAAAAATAAAATATTTTAAAAATAATTAAAATGCCAAAAAAATATATATACTGTATAAAATATGTATCAGAAAAATTAAAAATGGATTTTAGAGAGTTTTAGAGAGAAGGAGAGAAAATTAAATTTTATTTGAATTTTTTTTTTAATTTTAACTCACTTCCAATCCAAAACGGTAATTCACGCTCACAGTCACAATAAGTCAACGCCAATCACAATGAGTCAAATTTCTGAAAAATCACTAATTTAGAATTGAAAAGGGTTGGAAAATTTATTTTTAATTTGATAATATTTTTAGGGAATGTTTTTTTTAACTTACAATGCCAAAATTCAAATCCGGATAGTAGCCAAAGCCAAATAAAAATAAATTTAAAATTTAGTGTTTTTTAGGACTCTGAAATTAGTGAAAAAAATCATTAAATTGATAAGTGTAAATATGTAAAAAGGATTGTTCAAATATTTTTAAACAGATATTTGATAAAAAAAATACTTAGGAAATATTAATAGAGACTATAAATTAAAATATTAAAGATTGAAAAAATTGTTTAAAAATTATTTATAAAAAACAAATATTCAAAGGATAAAGTTTAAAATGAAAATAGTCGGCGGGAGAAAAATTATTGTAATTTAATGGAAGGAAAAATTAGAAAAGTAAACAAAAGAAAAATCAAGATTGTATCACACCTATATTAACAAACACTTAGGAAGAAGGCTATTGTAAAGTTAAAAATGTTAATGTGGGAAGAAAATGAAATTTTAAAAGCAAAGAATAAAAAAAATGGACGAGAATTTATGAATGAGAAAGTAAACAAATATATTAATAATGCACATAGAAAAATGATCAAAGGTCAAGAATAACCAAATGTATTTTAATAAATATCCACTTAATCCAAAACATCACCTATTTTAACAAAAATTTAAGACTTCTGGAAATAGCTAGATTAAAAAATATAGACCTTGAAGAAAAGACTGAAGAGAAAAATATAGTTTAAATCCTTGAATTTCCCGAAGGAATTTAATCTTAAATCTACTCCCAAAAATAGAATTTAACTAGTCAATAAATTACTAACAAATATACTCTTCCAGAAGATCACTCTTGTTTTTCCTTTTTTTCCGAAGGAGAAGGAAAGAAAATTCTGAAGATTAGACTTTATGAAATAAGAAAATAGAGAGAAAAATATAATATATTTATTTTAAATCCATTTATTTCCCGAAGGAAGTCTATACATGGGTTTACGCGCGCTACCATAAAGCTTTTTTAAAATTTTATTATTTATTTTTATTATTCCCAAAAATTTATAAATGCCCGGGTCTTACATTATTTCTAAAAAAAATAACTTATTCTATAGGCCTTTAAATTTGTTTTAATATATAAATTTTTAAAAAAAAATTACACCTACCTCCCGGTATCCACGTCGATGTCGAAGGACCAGTGCTACCAGTAGAGGTGGGACCCCCGGAATAAGATATAACCAATGCGGTGGACCCAAACCCCAGATAATGGAATACGGGAGGGAATATGCCCGGGACTTCCTAGGATAAACTTAAGGGTTGATCAGGCCCCCAGTTGATCTCCTGCACCAGGCATACACAATTGAACACACAATTTATATATTTATTAAATCCAAATATTAAAGCATTTATTTAATTCTTTTATTAAAGTGAAAGAATAATAAGACACTTGTAAGGTGATTACAAATCCTTTTAAATGTGTGAGAAAAGTGGGAGGGAAATGAATAATAATGAAATGACTATAAACTATAGGAAACAAACTCCGAGAATACCTTTGACCCTTACAATTTCACACCAGTATTTAACGCAATTGTTTGCATATTAACAAACAAACCATATCGAAATTAGAGATCGGAACGGGATCGGGACCCGGTCCCGTTTCCCGGTTTCCCGGTCCTTTTTCCCGGCTTTTTTGAAGATGCCTGGATGAAACCGGGATCGGGAATTCCCGGTTTTCCCGGTCCGGGTCCCGGCCGGTTAATTTTCATTTCCCGTTTCCCGTTCCCGATCCCGGCTTTTTATGGACCGGGAAACCGGGAAAAATTCTAACAGCTAATTTTAAATATTTTTGCTTGGCGTTTTGATTTTTTACTTAAAAATATTGGAGATTTTACAAAAATTCTCAAAATTTTCGCCTGCGGCGCTGAAAACGGAAGAAATTTGGCTGTTTGGCCTTCCAAAATTCTCAAAATGGTACTTTTCCGTTCTGCCACACCCCCCAAAATTAATGCTCAAAATGTCAAACATTGGGTAATAAAAGGTGTTGAGTCGTACGGTACCACTCTTTTTTCCCGGAGATGCCTTGAACCGAGATATAGGTCCCTGAAAATTGAAAAATCATAGGGGGGATTAAGCACAATTTTGAGGTGAAAAATTCGAATATACAATTGTTAGCTCATTCTCCACAATCTCTCTTAATGCTACCCAACAAATACTTGAATCTCTCGATATCTCTTTTAATCCCTGATATCACTATTGCACAGAGAAGATCAGAGTGGATTTGGAGGGATTAAATAAAAATTAAATTAAATAAAAATTAAATCGGCATCAAGGTGGATTAGGAGGGATTAAAGGGAATTAGATGAGGAATTAGATTTCTATTTATAAATCGATATAAAAAAATTTGAGGAGGCTATCGGAAGATCTTAAACTCAAATCTCCTAATATCCCACAATTATTCTCTAGCCTCTCAAATCCCTTTAGCCCTACATAATCCGCTTTATGTTTTAATTTTTTGTAATTTACATTTGTTTTATTGATGTATTTTACTGATTTATTAAATTCTTCTATTTATAAATCAGATTTTTTAATAAATAACTACTCCCATAACTTTTTAAAATTTTTAAATGAATTTAAAAATTTTTTAAATTTCCCGGTTTCCCGGTCCGGGTCCCGGTCATTTTTGACCGGGATGAAACCGGGAACGGGAATTCCCGGTTTTCCCGGTCCGGGTCCCTCCCGGTCGACCTTCAGAACCCGTTTCCCGGTTCCCGGTCCCGGTTTTTTCAAAATTCCGATCTCTAATCGAAATGCTGTATTTAATCGTGCACAAATACATCCACAATAATTTTTAAAGTTTTATATTTTGTAATATTATTAATAAATATTCTGATTTAATTAATTTAAACCAAGTAAACGGAAACCCAGCGCCCAACGTAGGGGCGAAATTCTGTTTTTAAAAATTAAAACAAAAATATTTATATAAATACATAGTATACATAAATTCTATATACAAAAATTAAAATAAAATTGAGAGATCATATATTAAGTAAAATTAAAAAGGGAATGCTTTTAACGAAAATTCTTTTTTTTTCCTTCAATTTTCCGAAAAAAATCTTTCAATTATTCCAATTAGCAGGCACATTTTCTATAAACTACAGCCATTTGTAAACTTCCATTAGAATGTTGTGTTGTATACAAAACTGAAGAAGCTGTAGTTGTTGAATTACCAGAACCTCCGCTTGCATTTCGCTCACTGTTTTTTAGTTTTTTGACCTTCAAGTTTTTATAAAAATATATCTTATCTAAGTATCCCATCCATAAAGATATTCAAAAAATTTAAATCAGCGTTTTTCAAAATGCCAAATCTCAAAATGCCTATTTTCAAAATGCCCAACTTTAATATGCCAATTTTAAAGGCAATAACTCAAACTGCTCAAAAAATGACAATTTTCATGATGTCCATTTTTTAGTCAGTTGATACTGTGATCGAAATTTCGTACCGTACATTATTCCATCCGTAATACCCATAAGGAATACCGATAAATATCGAAAAATACGGCCGTAGTACGTCAATGTTCGATCACTAGTTGATACAGTAAGAGAGTTATTGCTAGAAGCTTTCGCTCACCACATACGGGAGAACTGAGCTACCTGTGCATCGACTAATGCTTTTCTTTTATCATTCTACATAGATCATTTAACCCCTGCCTAAGCGTTTTAAATGCTCTAGGGGAAACACTCTTACACTACCTTAAAGCCTCAATTCTTTTATAAAGTACCTTTAACCAATTAATTTCTTCCCCTTTATGATTAGCCCAAGGAAAGCTTTTTTCGCATTGTATCGAATTTATTTCTTCTCCTTTTGATTGATCCAACAAATTATTGTTTGCATTATTATTTAATCTATTCAGTGAAGAACAGTCAGACAGGGCAACTCCATCCCCTGAATTAACGGCACATAGGACGTCAGAATTTTGTGTTCGAGTTTTGGTTGATTTTCGTCTAATGTGTCCTCTTCTAAAATTTTTAATAGGATTTTAATTCACAATTTTTAAACCACGGAACGTGCCTGTCCGCTTATCGGGTTATAACTTTTTAATGAGTGATCATTACGTAAAATAGAAATATACGACATTTTTTTGGTTTTTTTGCTCATTATGTCGACCTTTTTTACAACCTATTTTAGGATCAATGTCACCCTATTTTTAGCCTTTTTTGCAACCTGTAGGACCTATTTTTAAGTTTTACGGCCTATAAACCCGATCCCTAGTGATCAGATTTGATCCATCCCGTTGGAAAAAAGATCCCTAATCTGTTTACCAAACCCACCTTTTCTTTAAAAATTTTAACAGAAAACCCATACGCCAAATTCGACTCTAATGACATTCCAAACTCTCACTAAGAAAAATGACACTTAAGGGGAAAATTCTAATTGAGGCATTGATATAAACTAAAGTGATCTTCTGAGTTATCCAAAAAGTATTTAATAATTACCTGCACTTAAAAATATCACGTATAGCAGAACGAAATCTTTGCGACATAAAAGCATACAAAAAAGGATTACAACTACTTGAGAGGAATAATAACAAATAAGTAACTGGTTGAGTAAACACCTTGAAATTTTGAAAAAAAAATTTTTTTTCCAAAATTTTTTCGAGAAATACCTCAAATCCCCCCAAACAAATTCTTTCTTCCGAATATACCTAATAAAATACATTTTCTTGAAAAAAATTTTTTATATTATAAATACCGCAGAATAAAGTAAACGGATATGGTTGGGAAGTGTTAAAACAGCAAAAGAACAAACAATAGCAATTAAAAGGCGGATAATCTGTCAATAATAAATTTCTAAGATTCAATGAATTTTTTGTCATTTTCGGGGTTTTAGCTTGAATTTCACCATCATTTATCAATTAAAATTTTTCGGTACACCTCAAGTGCGTCCAGACTCAACTAAGTTCCGGACCCTATAACTTATCAAGTGATGGTCACATTTTTTTGCTCTTGGTACCATTCGATAGGGCATTAAATAGGCTACAATATACCAAAAAATCAAAATCCCTGACCGACTGGTAGAAAAGTTATGATCGATAAAGTGCCGAAAATTTGGATTTTTTGTAAAATATTTACCCTTTTTCTCGATTCCACAGTACTAACAAACACAGTAGACGAAGAAGGAGCCGAATTTCTCTGTCCTAAGTGTGCCGGACCGACAGAACCATTGCCCAAGGCCAATCTACATTTTGTCCCATTTTCCTGCTCAACATCTTCCTCCTCCTCATCATCATCCAAATCCTCTTCCAAATGACTTCCATTAGACTCTTCTTCCTCATCTTCCTCATCCTTATCTTCTTCCTCCTCCCTTCCTTCGTCTTCTCTTCCAAAATCTTCTTCTTCCTCCCCTTCACTCTCACTTGTAGTGTTTGGAAGGGGCGATGATTTATTAACCAAAATAAGCGGGGGAAGATTATTATTTGTTATTTTAGAATAATTATTAGGTTGTGAATTTGAACGTTTTGAAGGAGTTTTAATTGTTACTTCCGAAACTATAGTTGCCGAGCCGTTATTGTTAGTTATTGCACTCAGGCGACAACTGGCTACACTTCTCTTTTGTATTCCGGTCATTGTTGTTGTTTCTAATTTTTTAGAAATTATTTTAAGCTGTGAAAATTTAAAGAAATTTATTTTTTAAGTTAATATTATAATGGAATTTAGGATAAATACCGTATATAATCGAGTACCCTCATAAATAATTGCCTCCTCTGGATTAAGTACTACCGTCAGCGAGAGGTTGAAGCAATACACATACCAGGGTTGTGCCAGTTTCGCCTTTCGGGTTTCGCCTTCCTGGTTTCGCCTTTCACGGATTTTCGCATTTTTCGCGTTTCGTCTTTCGCCTTTCGCTTTTTTAAATTCGTTTCGACTTTCGTGTCTCGCCGTTCGCTTTTCACGTTTTTTTCGCGTTTCACAATGTTTCGGCACACCCTTAATATATCGGTACATTGTAAAAGAATGTGATCATTAATGGTAAAAGCTAGCTTGTGCCCCAATGTTGTTCTTCCCACATTTGCCTATGACATAAAAGGCAATATCTCACTCGTAGTATCACCCAAAAAAATTCCAGAAAAAGGCCAAATACTTCGCCAGCTCTCTCGTTTTTCAATTTAAATTACAAACAAACCGTTACTATTTGTTCTCATCTGTGTAAGTTTCTTTAACGGAGCACTGTGCCAAAGAACAAAACCGATGCGTGTATAAAGAAAAGCAATTATACACAAAGGAATACAATACCAAACAAGAAAGGAAATGATTAACTAAAAAATTATTCTTTAAATTTAACCAAAGTAGAGTGACACGTGGTCAAATTTCCAAAAAAAAATTTTTTAATCTAAACTGAGTGATTTTCTGTTCCAACTAGAGGTCTTGCCGACCGGTTAAATTTCCCCTATAGAGAAGAATAAGAGCTTTTGTTCTGTCACAGGAAAATTAACCGTTGCCAACACCCTTAGTTTTAATCCTTATAACTCATAAAGTAATGGCCCCTTCATACTACTCTTGGTACCACTGGATAGCTAATTAAGTACACTACAAGATAACGAAATATCAAAATTCTCGACTGAGCCCCCACAAGCCCCCCCTCCCCCCAATTTATTTTTACAAAAATAAATTTATTAAAAAAAATTACTCGACTTTGAGTTTGTCTTTTTTTATTTTTTCCAACTCTAATAAATAAAAAAATAATTTTTTTTCTCACCATGTTCCGCGTGCTCACAAAACTTTAAATAAAAAATAATTTTTAATTAATTTTAAATTTTAAAATTAATTTTCCCAATGATTTTTATTTATTATTTTTACACCATTTTTCAATTTAAAATTTTCTAAAAAATTTTTGTATTAAAAAAATTTTTATTTTTCCAAATTTTTATTTTTCCTCTATTTTTAGAATTATTTTCTTACGCAACATTTTATTAATTTTCGTAAATTTCTTTATTTATTGTTTCTAGTCTTCCTAAAAATACACAAAAAAATATTAATTTTCAAACCACGAGGTATTTCCTAAATTAACCAAAAATTAATTTATTTTTAATTCCCAAATAAAACAAAAGAAAGACCACCACCAAAAAATATATTTTATGGTCCCATTTTCAGCAACACTTTTATGATAATTTATTAAATAAATGTTTTAAGAAGGAAACACGAGGTAAACGTGATATTGAAATGATTGATTAAGAAAAATAAAAACATTTTGTCTAACAACTTGTTTTTCTCTAAAAATTTGTTTGTCTCTCTATTAAATAAACACTATTTTCTATTAAAACATTTGTTTAAATTCCAACTTGTTTGTTTCTTGTTTATAAAAATAAACTTGGAAAAAAACATGTTTTTCTCCTAAACATTTAAAGAAAATATTTTCTTCAAAACATACAGACAAACCTCTAAACAAACATCCAAACAACATTTAAACAAACATCCGAACAAACATCTAAACAAACATTCAAACAACATTTAAACAAAACATCCAAACAAGCATTGAAACAAACATCCGAACAAACATCTAAACAAACATCCAAACAACATTTAAACAAAACATCCAAACAAGCACTGAAACAAACATTTCAACAAACATTCAAACAAACATCAAACAAACATTCAAAACAAACATTCAAACAAACATCCAAACAAACACGTTTGTCTCTCATCTAAAAACATACTCTATCATCAAAAATAAACTTTAAATTACAACTTGTTTTTCAAAACTCTTTTTTCTAAAAACAACAACAAACTTAAAAATAAACTTGTTCGTCTCATAAAACTTGTTTTACTAAAAACATGCTTTGTTGTTTTATGTTAAAATAAACTTAAAATTACAACTTGCTATCTTTTCTTTTTTTCTCTGTAAAACAACTTTGTTTCTCACACATAATCTTTTACGTAAAAACTTAAAATTTAATCTTTGCTGTAAATTACAACACATAATTTTATATTTATTATGCAGCTGCAAATTTTACAATTAAAAACTATTAATTATATTTTTTTAATTTTTATTATTTTTTCTTACTTAAAAAATTTAATTTTATTTTAATATTGAAAATAAATTAAATTACCCATCAGTTAAAAGCCCTCTAAAGCACGCCGCATTTCCTCCTTCCCATTCACGATATTTTGAAGTTGTGTAATATGGCAAATTTGCTAACAACCTTTTTTTAAAAAATTATTTTTAGAATAATTTTTAACGAGAAAAAAAATTTAAAATTCCGAAAAAAATTTTTGAAAAATTAAAAAAAAAAAATAAAAAATTTTTTTTTTTGAAATTTTCGAAATTTTGAAATTTTTTTTAAATTTTTTAAAAAAATTTTTTCATCAGAAAAATAAAATTTACGAGCATATCCAAACAGCGGTCATCATTAAAGAACGAAATCTAGGCGTTAACAATTTCAGAGCCAATAAAGGGTGTAAAACAGCTATATATTTTTCGACTGAAACACACACGAGAATTCCAATTCCTGCACATGGGGCAAGGTGTAGAATGAGTGCATACATTCTACATAGAGTTTCTCCTTTAAATGGGATTTTTTTTGAAAAAATTTTTTTGGAAAATTTTTCAGAAATTTCAAAAATTTTTCAAAAAATTTTTCGAAAAAAATTCCGAAAAATTCACCCAACGGCCACTGTGCATCCAAATGAACCAAATGTAACATATTTTGTAAAATACAAAATATGGCAACCAATAAATCTGCCAATGCCAAATTGGCAAGGAAAAAATTTGTAGCTGTTCGCATTGAACGGTGGGCACAGATTACAACAATTGTGAATAAATTGCCTTATAATTAAAAATTATTTTTAGATTTTTTTGAAATGTTTTAAACGGCCGATCCTCAAAATAAGGTAACCGAAAACTAGATACACCTCCATCTTCAAATTTGGACAGCCACTGAGTGGAGGATTGGTCTAATTGATACCCTCCAAGATGCTCACTGAGAGTAGGGCAGTTCATTACCGGTTATTAACCGGATCCCTCGGTTTTCGGTCATCGCCGGTTTTCGGTTCAGGTTTTTGTCAGACCCCCGGTTTTATGTTCCGGTTCGGTTAACCAAGCGTGAACAAACCTACATAGTAGAGAGCATCTTAAAGTGGGGAGCGTTGAACCAAAAGTCAAGTCAATTAAAAAAAATTTTTTTTATTTTAAACCCCCAAGAATGTTATAGTGAGGTCCGACTCTAATAAAAATTAAAAAAAGAAGTGTCTATTAAAAAATAATAAAAATTCTTTGTTAGTCTGCCAAAAACAAATAAAAAATAAATAAACTGTCACTCTTTTAATTTAATCACAACGTTAAAATTAAAAATATTTTCTTTGACAAGTTAATAAATTTCAGAGAAGTATTTTTTCAACTTTAAAAAAATACTTGGAAATTATAAAATAAATAGGTTTAGGGAATGCGAAAAATTAATTTTTTTCTTGAAAATTTTTAAAAAATTCAAAAAATTAATTAAAATATTTAATTAGAAATGATGTCAATTCGGGAAGAAAAAACGAAAAAAACGGGAAAAAAATTCATCGGAATTTGAATTTAAAAAATTCTTTGAACTTCCAAGATAACGGCACAGCAGAAACTACAGTAATCCAAAAAATGGTCATTTTGGTTTAGTGGGAAAATGCTTGGATTTGCCCTTACCCAAGGGTGGAGGTTCGAATCCCAGTGGGGAAAATTAATTTTATTTGAGAAAATAAATAAAAATAAACAAAGAGGGTTAACTAAAATTGTTTTTATAAATCTCATGAGGATTTTTTGATCAGAAAAAATTATTTTTACAGTAAAAACGGAGAAGATGAGAGATTAAAGGAGATTAAATATGAATAAATTCGTGAGAGAAAAAATTAATTTTATTAAAAATTTAAGTTAATAAAAAAATCTTTACCTGTTAAACAAAGAAGAAATACGGCAACATAAGCAAAAGTAAAAGGGATTTTAAAAATGGGTCTGTCCAACAATGGTTCTACTAATCCTTGATTACAATCTACCTCTCCTTGATTATTAGCGGTAGTCATTTTTGAAAAATTTCAAAAATTTCAAAATTTAATTTTCTGTTTTTAGAGGTGTTTTCCTGTTGTTTTTAATTTAAATTAAATTTTCTATTTAATGTTGGGAATGTTTAAAACAAAAATATTTAAAAATATTCAAGTGTTGGTGATGCGTTGTTGATCGCTGATCTCCTTTCTTCTAAATATATTTTTCTGTTTGCTCCTCCTTTCTAATTTTTTTCAACGATTTCTTAGTTATTTCTTTTAATAGTTTCCTTTTATAGTTACTAAATTAGAAAGGAAAAACTATAATTTTTTTACTAAACTTCTCATTAGAGTAAACGACACGGGTACATCTAAGGCTCATAACTCAGGATTGGATGAACCTTTTTAAACGTTTTAAACACCATTCGGTAGAGAATTAAATTCTCTACAAAATCACCAAAAATCAGAATTTTAGGTTCAATGGGAAGAAAGTTATGGTCAAAAGAGCGACATTTTTGGGACAAAATGTCGCTTTTTGTAAGTTTTTCTAATTGAACTTTTTTATTCTGATTTCAAAAATTTTTATTTTAGACTCATTTTCTAGCCCTCTTAATTCTCTATAAAAACTCCAAAAATTATTAAAAAAGGTCCATCCGTTCGAAAGTTATAGTCGTTTGAATAGTCAGTACTCTAATGAAGAAAAATACCTCTGTCTAATAATTTTTAAAAAAAAATAAAAATAAATTGGCGAATAAAATAAGAAAAGTATATAAAAAAACAACAAAATAATTAATTAATTAAAATAAAAATTAAAAAAAAATAAATTTGCTTATCAATTAATTTTTAAAATTTAATTTATTGCTAAATAAAGACAGAAAAACCCCCTTTAAAAATGGCCAGAGAGCAGTAGATGGATGGGAGGGTTTTTTTATTTTTATGATTTATAGAAAATATATTAGCATAACCTACTATTTATAATTGAGAGAAAATAAAAAAAATGATTAAAAAAATTGTTCACAAATAAATTATGACACGGCTTTTTTTCGTGTGTGGTTAATGTTAAAAATAAAATTAAAATTAATTTCTTTTTCTGCCAATTTTCAAAAATTAATTATGAGAATAAATATGAATAAACTATCCGTTCGAGATTTGAAGTAGTAAGGCCAGCGAATATATTTCTATAAATCATATAGAATAAAAAACCCACCCACCCATCTACGCTCTTTGGCCATTTTTAAAGGGGTTCTTCTGTAGTAGTAAGGACAGAAATCATTGGGGATCGGTGTTTGCCGGGGTAGAGTCTTCGGAGGTCGGGTCGGGGTTTTTGTCAAAAAATAGTCGAGGTCAGGTCGGGGTTTTGCCCGCAAGGGGGTGTGCATCGGGGATCGGGGGGTTTGTCGGGGTAGTCTTCGGAGGTCGGGGGTTCGGGGAACGGGGTGCTACCCTAGTATAACTAAAAAAAATTTTTTTAGATTAATTTTTAATAACAAGAGATCTAAAAAGTCAAAAACAACCACACAAAAATTAAATCCGTCCTTAGTTCCTTTTCCTTAAGGGGCTTAATTTAATCTAAATTATCCACAAATGTCGTGTGTACCCAAATGTCGCGCTACAAGATTTTCAGTGCCTTGTTTTTTAAAATACAGAGATCTATTTAAAATCCTTCTAAAAGTATTTTTTAAAGTATTTTAATGAATTATTTTTTTAATTTAATTTAAAAATGATAGGAATTTTAGAAAAATAAAAGTACAAAGTATCTTTACAAATAAACGTCAAAAAACTAAAAATAACATTTTTGCACTTAATAAATGTACTTAATAATTTAGACATTAAAGCGAAAATATTCTTTCCCTTTTAAAGCAAATTTTTAATTTTTTTAATAAAAATTATATTAAAAAATAGTAAATTTGTTAATCGTTGGGTATGTAATTGGCGTTTGGATTAATTGAAAAAATTTTTTGGCGTTATTTTTAAAATTTGGCATTCTGTTTTTTGGCGTTTTTAATTTTTTTAAAAATATTTTTGGTAGTGCACGGCGCCGGGCTGGATCCGACCGGATTTTTCCTGAACCCGGGTCCCAAATCCGGGTTTTTTTGAAATTTCCGGACTAAAACCGGACCGGATTAATCCGGAAAAATCCGGCCAGATCCGGTCCGGCTCTAGTTGCAAATCCGGGATCCGGATCGGCCAAAATCGATTTTGCCGGGGACTAATTTTTGGCACTTTTAAAATACTTTTGGCGTATTTCTTTTTTGGCATTATTCTAATATTATTTTGGCATTCTGTTTAGTTTGTGAAAATATTTTTGACGTTTTGTATTTTTTGGATATTATTTAAGGAATACTGTAGTAGTTGGTGCTTGACGCCTTTAAAAAATATTTTTGGCTTTCTATCTTTAAACTTGGAATACTAAAAAATTTTTTGGGTATCTAGCTAGCCCGGATCTCGAAAATCGAGAATTATTTTTATGTTTGCTAGACCCTGGTAAACCTCGATTAAGGTATTTTTTAATTTAATAAGCTACCTCAATTTAAGATACGCTCATTACAAGTAACAATGATTAACCCAAGGCTAAGCCAATTTCTTAGGGATCTAGCTAAGCCAAATTTTTGGCGTTCTGTATTTATGGGTAAATAAAACCGAGGTCTGACTGAAGTTAAAAATAGCTTATAGGTATCTATAAATTTTTTTGGCGTTCTGCATAAAAAATTTTTTTTGCGCACACCCACCCTCCTAAAAGTGTTAATGCCCTTTTCTATTAATGCGCAACGTTAAAGTTTTATTTTTTTTAACGAGAATTAATTTATTCAAGAAAAATTAAAATGAAAATGGTAAAGGAAAGTTGGGAGGAAAGAGAAGAGAAAATTACAAAAAAATTTTTTTTTAAAAAGCCAAAAGTCAAAAGGCCAAAAACCATCAAAAACCTTGAAAAACACACATTTTGGCATACATTAGGGTAATTGAGGGGTAAACATTATGAGTAAATAAATGAAAAACTAAAAAAAGAACCAATGGGATCAAATGTCCAAAAATAGTGAAAAAATAAAAAAATGACAAAAGGTCCCAATAAATGTCTCATTTTTCGATGATATTAAAAAGGGTATTAAATGAAGGAAAATATTAATATGGAAGGAAAGTTGTGAAAAGAGGAAATTTAATTTTTTTCTACAGTAATTTAACAAGTTACAGTAATCTGTTTTACCGTAGTAATTAATGATGGGATTTATTTTTAAAATAATTTTGGCTAAATAATTACCCAAATAGTGTATTAGAAAGCTCAGAATGTGAAGATCCTTTTTTCTGGTCTGGCTTTATTTGATAAAAGTTGATAGAAAGTTGAGGACTGAATTATTGGTGAAGATTGTATGCCTGAGCGAAAGACTGATACACGCGATTTGACGCACTTAAAAGGCTATAACTTTTGAATGAATAGTTGGATCAACTTACTCTCTGAAGGAAAAAGAATTTACAAATCCTAAGCTTTCGAATGGTGCAAAAATTATTTGGATTGGTCGAAAACAGAAAAAGTTACAGAGCAAGGAAGGGAGAAGGGATTTAAGGGTTCATTGACTACCGTATCCTTTTTCTGAATTAAAAATAAATAAAATAATTTCCAATTAAAAATTGTTTTAACCTTTAATTTTTGTCTTATTTTTAAACCAAAAACGTGGCCTTTGGCCATTAATTTAGTTGAAAAAAAAATAAAAAGAAAAATAAATTAAATTAGGAAGTGAAAAAAGAAGTGAGACAAGGTTATTTTAAATTTTTTATG